CGGTCGCGGCCGCGCAGCGTCTCCAGAAGCAGCAGGGACACCAGTGGCAGCCCCAACGCCCGAGTCCTCAGCACCAGCAGCAGCTCCAACGCCCGGGTCCTCAGCACCAGTAGGAGCTCCAACGCCCGAGTCCTCAGCACCAGCAGCAGCGCCACCGGTCGGGTCCTCAGCACCAGCAGCAGCTCCAACGCCCGGGTCCTCAGCACCAGCAGCAGGGCCACTGGTCAGGTCCTCAGCACCAGCAGCAGCGCCACCGGTCGGGTCCTCAGCACCAGCAGCAGCTCCAACGTCCGGGTCCTCAGCACCAGCAACAGCACCACCGCTCGGGTCCGCAGCACCAGGAGCACCACTACGAAGACTGCAGCGCCGCGTGTACCACTCGCGGATCACCTGAATGGGGGGGAGCTCCTGGGTAGGAGGGGAAGTACCGGGACGAGCTCCAGAAGCACCTCTCCGGAGGCGGCAGTACTCGAGGTACCTCTCCTGCAGCTGCTGGGAGGAGAGGGCTCCTCCAGGCGTAGCACGCTCAGGCTCAGCACCCCCAGACGTAGCACCCCCAGACTCAGCACCTCCAGGCTCCGCACCCCCAGGCTCCGCACCCCCAGGCTCAGCACCCCCAGGCTCCGTACCCCCAGGCTCAGTACCCCCAGGCTCCGCACCTCCAGGCCCAGCACCCCCAGACTCAGCACTCCCAGGCTCAGCACCCCCAGACGCAGGACGCGAGTCAACAGCTACCTCGACAGGCTCACCCGGGTCTACCTGGGACACACCTGAGGGAGCGGCACCCTGAGGGGGGAGGGGGTCGGGTACCTCAGCACCTGGAGCGAGGAAGAGCGGCGGAGGGGGGAGGGGGGCAGTGCGGTAGGGGAAGAGGCGGTAGAAGGGGACGGACTCGTCAAAAGTGACGTCCTGAGAGGCCAGAACCCGGCGCGAGGTGACGTGGTAAAACTGCCATCCAGGCGCGTCGGGAACAAAGCCAAGGAAGACACAGGGAAGAGCGCGACGGGAGAGCTTGTCCACAGACGTGTCGCGGACAAAAGCTCGGGATCCCCACACCCGGAAACGCGACGCATCGCCAACCTCTCCCGTCCACCGCAGAGTCGGGGAAGTCTCCGGCAAGGAGACACGGGGCCAGAGGTTGAGCTGATGCGCAGCGTACCGGACCGCAAACGGCCACAGAAAGTGGGGAGCAGCCGCATGGGTCAGGGAGGTACGAGCGACCTCCATGACTAAGCCAATGCGGCGCTCAGCAACCCCATTCTGCTGTGGAGAGGCCGGAAGCGTGTACGACTGCTCAATGCCGTGCTCAGCACAGTAGGCTGCCAAGAGGTCGGAGGCAAACTCACCACCTCTGTCAGAGTGCAAGCGCAGGACAGGAAAGTCCGAGTGAAAGCGCTCGCCTAGCTGGAGACGGGCTCGGCTGATCCAGGGGATCAAAACACCAGGGACGTCACCCTTGGCGCGCAAGGGGAAGACCGTGGTGTAGCGCGAGTAGTCGTCAACAACTATCAGGAAGTACCTCTCCTGACCCTGACCACGGACGCGGGCTGGGCCCCACACGTCCATGTGGAGCGTCTGCAGGGGAGCGGTCGTCGGGGGAAAGGAGGAGGAGTGAGGAGCGGCGCGCTGCCGCCCCTCGACACAGGGTATGCAGTCAGGAGCAGGGGAGTCAGGAAGGGGAGGGAGCACCCTGGGAAGACCAGCAACAAGGTCCCGTTTGTGCATGGCCCGCAGGCGCTGCACAGACGGGTGACCAAGGCGGTGGTGCCAGAGGACGGTGTCGTTCGCCAGAGAGCGACACGAGCAGGGGGCGGACAGCTGACCTGACGCTGACGCAGACGCAGCTACCTGAGGGGACTCAGTGGTCAGTGTGTACAGGTCAGACCCCGGCTCTCGAGTGAAAGTAGCTAGGTGGCGGCCCGTCCGAGCACACGTGCAGTGAGTCACACGCTCGTAGGCAGGGGTGAACTGGTGAACACCCCCGTCCTGGAGCGCACTACCTGCCACCAAGTTCGTGGAGAACGAGGGGAGGTAGAGACCTGAGAGCGTGCCGGACGGAACCGCTGGACACGGAAGGGTGGTGGAGGAGGTCGCAAGGACCGGACCCCCAGAGGGGTCAGCAAGAGAGACAGCAACCGGCCGAGCTAGAGGCTCAAGGACAGTGCGGTCACGAAAGAAAGAGCGAGAAGCACCTGAGTCCAGTGTGAAGGTGTGCAGTGCCGCAGTCGACTCAGTACCAGGGGGCACAGACGCACAAGCACCTAGAGCAGCAGCTGCAGTAGTACCTGTGGAAGCAGACACACTAGCACCTAGAGCAGCAGCGGGGCTGGCCTGAATGCCCGGGTCGGGCGGAACACGCAAGTACTGAGCACCCTCTCCACTAATAGACATCGCATACATGGCAGTGAGAATAGCATCAAAGTCCAGTGCCCAAATATCAACACCCTTCCTGAGCAGCTCAGCCCAGCGCGGCAGCTCACCCCCACCAGGAAACTGGGTGCGCCACGCATCGTTGAGGCGGGCGAAGCAGCGCTCCGTCTGGTGCGGCCCCCCACACGTCTGGCCAGTGCGGTCACCTGTACGAATAACGTACTGGCAGGTGACGCTGCGCCGCGCATACCACTCACGGGCGGCCTGAAGGGTCGGGGCAGGCTGCTGACTCTGACCGCCCCCCGGGCCTCCACGACCACCACCCCCTCCGCCTCCGCCCCGGCCACCTCCACCCCTGCCGCTGCCACGACCACCTCCGCCTCCGCTGCCACCTCCGCCCCTGTCACCACTCCCACCGCCGCTGTCACCTCCACCACTGCCGCCACTAGCCTCTCCAGTCGCACCTCCACCGCCACCACCTCCACCCCCGCCTCCTCCGCCACCACCCCCACTCCTGCCACTCCTGCCCCTGCGTCGTCCGCCTGAAGCAGACGCAGCCCCGACCTTCTCAGCACCAAGGAGGTCGACAGCAGCAGCAGAGGCGACAGAGGGGAGGAGGGGGGAAGGGGAGCACCCCTCGAAGAAGGGGCCGCGGGGGTCGCCACGAGAGGTGCCTACAGCGACGATACTAGCCTCGGCTGCAAGCAGTTCCTTCTCGAGGAGGTCTACGGTGAGCTCAGTGGGGGAGCGAGAGAGGAACTGGTCCCTGACAGGGCGCAGAGAGTCAGGGAGGCGGGTGACAACGTGGTAGAGAGTGATCCAGAGCGGGGGGGGGTTGCTAGCGAGGAACTCGTCAGGCATGGCAGCGCGAAAGCGAGCCTCACTAGTCTTAAGGTGGGTGATGAGGTCTGCAACAGTGTGAAAGGAGGCTAGGTCGGGGAACAGGTAGGGGAGAGTGAGGCGGCCTAGCGTGGCAGAAGCGGGTGAGGAGTAGCGGGCCACTACAGCTGTGTAGAGGTCCTTAGCAGTCTTGCACTGGCCGAAGTGCTCGCGCTCATCTAGCGGCAGGGAGTTGCGAATAGCAAAGCGAGCGTGCGCGTCACGGGTCTGCCACTGTGAGCGCTCAGCTGGGGGGGCAGTAGCGAGTGGGGCGGTCGCATGGCCGAGAGCGTGGTCGTACAGTGTAATATCTTCCTTGGCAGTGAGCTGTAGGAAAAGGTGCAGGTCATCTAGCCAGGTTTCGAATTTGACCGGACGGCCCTCGGCGTCGAAAGCTAGAACAGGAGGACTAGCCATAGCGACAGCGGCAGTAGTAGAAGCAGTAAAGTCACTGAAAAGGCGTGCGCAGGGTCAGCGGGGCCGGTGGGGCCTACGGACTGTAGTGGCGCACAAGCAGCAGTAGCAGGAAGTGTAGTAGTAGGATCTGCAGTGGTGCACAGGCGCAGCAGGCGGCAGCGAGAGCCGGCGCAGCAGGGGCGGGCTCAGCAGCGGTGATACGCGGGCGGCGGCGGGCGCAGCAGCGGCGGTGCGCGGGCGGCGGCGGGCTCAGCAGCGGCGGTGCGCGGGCGGCTGCGGGCTCAGCAGCGGCGGGCCGGGAGCAGGCAGCGCGCGGGCCGTGCGGGCCGTATATGAGCTGTGCGGGCAGCGTGCGGGCCGGCGGCGGTCAGCGCACGAGCCGCGCAGGCTCAGCGCGGGCTGCGCGGGCTGCTCGCGGGCTGCGTAAGCGGGTCGCGGGCGGCTCGCGGGGGTTCGCGGGCAGGTCGCGGGCTGCTCGCGGGCAGTTCGCGGGCTGTGCGCGGGCTGCGCGGGCTGGTCGCGGGCTGCGCAGGCGGTTCGCGGGCTGTGCGTGGGCGGTTCGCGGGCTGTGAGCGCGGCGCGCTGTGCGGTTCGCGGGCGGCGTGACGGGGCCGATCGGGGCGCTAAGGGGCGACGCGACGGGGGCCGTGAGAGGCCGCTAGGAAAAAAAAAGGTTCGACGGGGCCGCAGGGCCGCTAGATCGTGCTAGATCGACGGGGCCAGCGGGGCCGGAAACAAGCGAAGGTAAGCAGGTAGGTAAGTCGGTGGGCCCTAAGAACAGTCCTAGCGAAGGACCTGCTCTGAAACCATGTCAGAAATAACTGAGCAGGAATGGAATGAACTAGCACAGAGTTTGGTACAAGTAGGAAACCCTAACTTTGAGTACCCCCTAAGGTGTAACCCACTACAGCCTACATAATATAAACATGCAATGTTTGACACCTAACCCTAGAATTGTGTACCCCCTATAGGCTAACCCACTGCAGCCTAAACAAGCACAACACATATAATGTTTGACACACCCCCATAGGCAAAGTGGGGGAGAGCAAGGGGTCACAAGACCAGTTAAAGCAAAGCAAAACAAGCTCAGGGTGGATCTCAAGGATACCACACAAATTCCGAGCACAAGCAAGTGGTCACAAGACCAGTTCACATGCAGGCATATATATAAGATCACAGTACAAGCAGAGTCAAGAAGTAAGCAAGTGAGGTCCAGCAGGCACAAGGCCTAGAAGAGTACAGAAACGCTGATGGTCACAAGGCTGAAGCGCCTTGGTGAAGACATCAGCAAGGTTGGCCTCAGTGGCCACGTAACGCAGACGTAGCTGACCACGCTACTGCAGCTCTCGAGCAAGGAAGTACCGCAGGGCAATGTGCTTCGTTCTGTGCTCCAGTCTGTGCTCCTCACACAAGGCAATGGCAGCCTGGTTGTCGACGTACAGCACTGGAGGAGAACGAGGCCGCTCTCCCAGGTCGGTCAGCAGGTAGGTCAGCCAGCGTAGCTCCTGGGCAGCCATGGCTGTGGCGTAGATCTCAGCCTCACAACTGGAGCTGAGAACAGAAGAAGAGCGTGTAGAACGCCAAGAAACTGAGCCGGAGCCAAGGCTGAAGGTGTAACCCTGAGACGACCGCTGAGTAGCCTGGTCGTCCGCCCAAGAAGCGTCTGAGTGTCCAGTAAGTACAACTCGGTCTCGCCCTCCAAGCACTAGCCCCATGCCCGACGTACTGCACAAGTAGCGCAACACCCTCTTAGCGGCATCCATGTGCTCCTTCCTGTGACGGCCAGGAGCGACATAGCGTGCAAGGATGCTAAGAGGGTATGCAAGGTCAGGTCGAGTGCAGGTCATCAGGTACATGAGGCAGCCCACAAGCTCTGGATACGGGCCACTCGGCTCTACGGACTCATCCGAAGGCAGAGCTGAGAGCGAGTGACCGGTAGGCAGAGGAGTGGACTGAGGCGAGGAGTACGTGAAGCGGAAGCGCTGAAGGATCTGCTGCACCATGTGTGACTGAGTCAAGGTGATGGTGTGCCGTGCTCTGTCCCGGGTGATCCGCAAGCCAAGATAGCTTGTCAGTTCACCCAGGTCTGTGCACGTGTGTCTCCTCTGCAGCTCCGACTTCACGTGGGCGAGTGCCGCGGTGTCAGCAGTGGCAAAGACCAAGTCGTCGACGTACACGAGGATGTAGAACGGCGGCAGCGAGGTGTCTGTGCGTAGAAACAGTGACGGGTCAGCAGTAGAGGGAGCGAACCCAAGAGCCGCAAGTGTCATCCTCAGTGTGTCGTGCCACTCACGCGGTGCCTGGCGGAGACCGTAGACCGGCCGCTGGAGCCTCCACTGGGTACCAGGAGGAACCGACCCAGTGAAGCCAGGAGGGCGGCGCAGCCAGATCTCCTCGTGCAGGCTGCCCTGTAAGAAAGCAGTGCTGAAGTCAAGTGAGTGAAGCTCGTAGTCGCGCTGAGCGGCTATGTGCAGCAGCACCCGAAGAGTGGTCATCTTCGGGGTGGGGGAGAAGGTCTGGAAGAAGTCAACTCCCTCTCGCTAACTGAAGCCTCGAGCAACGTAGCGCGCCTTGAAGACAGGAGGAGAACCCGGTGGCCGCTTCACCCTGAAAATTCACATGCCACTGACGATGTTCGCCCCAGGTGGGGGAACCTCGTCGACGTAGGTGCCTGTGGACTTCCAGGAAGCCATCTCTGCGTCCATGGCTGTCTGCCACTGAGAGGAGTAGGGACCCGCCATCGCCTCAGCGTAGGTGCGCGGGGTCGGGATGTCTGGTGCATCCGGGTCTCCCTCAGGGGCAACTAGCATGGACACGAGATGGGGCAAAGAAGCAGCAAAGCACTGGAACTCCTCCTGTCTGTCCTCAAGGACGTCAGTGCCAAGAGCACACACACCCCCGACGGACGGAGGACAGACAGACTCAGACTCGGACTCAGCAACAAGGCTAGTGGCGTAGTCTAGACGACACCGGGCAGCAAAGTCTATCAACTCAGCGACCAGAGCAGACGCAGCAGAGGACTCAAAGGTAGGGTCAGTGACAACAGTAGCGAGGAGACGGGTGACAGTGGGACTGGCAGCACGACGGGAGTCAGACTCCGGATCAGGAAGAGTAGGCAGAGAGGACGCAGGAGGAGACGGCAGCAGGACACGCTGAGGAGCAGTGGAGGGACGCAGAGTCATGTAGTGAGTGCCAGGGACAGGAGGAGGACGCTCACGTGGGACACGACGACCAGTGCGAGCAGTACGAACAGGCGACGCAGGACGAGACGCAGGCTCACGACGCTCTGCAAGACCTCCTGTGGGACCAGTGTAAGGAGAGGGACCAGGGAGAGGCGAGGCAGGCGGTAACTGTGACTGGGACTGGACAGGCGGAGGACACGCTACGGAGGGAGGAGGACAACGAGGAGGAGCCTGACCAAGAACCTGCTGAAGGAGCGGTACAAAGTACGGTCGCGGCCGCGCAGCGTCTCCAGAACTAGCAGAGACACCAGCGCCAGGGTCCTCAGTACCAGCAGCAGCTCCACCGCCCGGGTCCGCAGCACCAGCAGCAGCTCCACCGCGCGGGTCCTCAGCACCAGCAGGAACTCCACCAGCCGGGTCCTCAGCACCAGTAGCAGCTCCAACGTCCGGGTCCTCAGCACCAGCAGCAGCACCACCGCTCGGGTCCTCAGCACCAGCAGGAACTCCACCAGCCGGGTCCTCAGCACCAGCAGCAGCTCCAACGTCCGGGTCCTCAGCACCAGTAGCAGCGCCACCGCTCGGGTCCTCAGCACCAGCAGGAACTCCACCAGCCGGGTCCTCAGCACCAGCAGCAGCTCCACCAGTCGGGTCCGCAGCACCAGCAGCAGCTCCAACGTCCGGGTCCGCAGCACCAGGAGCACCACTCCGAAGACTGCAGCGCCTCGTGTACCACTCTCGGATCTGCTGGAGGGGGGGGAGCTCCCGGGCAGGAGGGGAAGCACCGCGACCAGCTCCAGCAGTACCTCTCCGGAGGCGGCAGTACTGTAGGTACCTCTCCTGCAGCCGCTGTGAGGAGAGGGCTCCTCCAGGTGTAGTACCCCCAGACTCAGCACCCCCAGGCTCCGCACCCGCAGACTCAGCACCCTCAGGCGCACTACCCCCAGGCTCGGCACCCCCAGGCTCCGCACCCCCAGACTCAGCACTCCCAGGCTCAGCACCCCCAGACGCAGTACCCCCAGGCTCAGCACCCCCAGGCTCAGCACCCCCAGCAGGACGAGAGTCAACAGCTACCTCGACAGGCTCACCCGGGTCTACCTGGGACACACCTGAGGGAGCGGCACCCTGAGGGGGGAGGGGGTCTGGTACCTCAGCACCTGGAGCGAGGAAGAGAGGCGGGGGGGGGGAGCGGGGCAGTGCGGTAGGGGAAGAGGCGGTAGTAGGGGACGGACTCGTCAAAAGTGACGTCCTGAGAGGCCAGGACACGACGCGAGGTGGCGTGGTAGAACTGCCAACCAGGCGCGTCCGGGACAAAGCCAAGGAAGACACAGGGGACAGCGCGACGGGAGAGCTTGTCCGCGGACGTGTCGCGAACAAAAGCTCGAGATCCCCAGACCCGAAAACGCGACGCATCGCCAGCCTCTCCCGTCCAACGCAGTGTCGGAGAAGTCTCCGGTAAGGAGACACGGGGCCAGAGGTTGAGCTGATGCGCAGCGTATCGGACTGCAAACGGCCACAGAAAATGGGGGGCAGCCGCATGAACCAAGGAGGTACGAGCGACCTCCATGACCAAGCCAATGCGGCGCTCAGCAACCCCGTTCTGCTGTGGAGAGGCCGGAAGCGTGAACGACTGCTCAATGCCCTCCTGCTGACAGAAGGCCTCCAGGAGGCCAGAGGAAAACTCCCCACCTCTGTCAGAGTGCAGACGCAGGACAGGGAAGTCGGAGCGGAAACGCTCACTGAGCTGGAGATGAGATCTGCGGATCTAAGGGATCAAGACATCAGGGACGTCACCCTTGGTGCGCAAGGGGAAGACCGTGGTGTAGCGCGAGAAGTCGTCAACAACAATCAGGAAGTACCGCTCCTGACCCTGACCACGGACGCGGGCTGGGCCCCACACGTCCATGTGGAGCGTCTGCAAAGGAGCAGCAACAAGGTCCCGTTTGTGCATGGCCCGAAGGCGCTGCACAGACGGGTGACCTAGGCGGTGGTGCCAAAGGACAGTCTCATGTGCCAGAGAGCGACACGAGCAGGGGGCGGACAGCTGACCTGACGCAGACGCAGACGCAGACGCAGCTACCTGAGGGGACTCAGTGGTCAGTGTGTACAGGTCCGACCCGGGCTGCCGAGTGAAGGTAGCCAGGTGACGGCCCGTCCGAGCACACGTGCAGTGTGTCACGCGCTCGTATGCAGGGGTAAACTGGTGGACACCCCCGTCCTGGAGCGCACTACCTGCCACCAAGTTCGTAGAGAACGAGGGGAGGTAGAGACCTGACAGTGTGCCTGACGGGACCGCAGGACAAGGAAGGACAGTGGAGGAGGTCGCAAGGACCGGACCCCCAGAGGGGTCAGCGAGAGAGACAGCAACTGGCCGAGCGAGAGGCTCAAGGACAGTGCGGTCACGAAAGAAACAGCGAGAAGCACCAGAGTCCAGTGTGAAGGTGTGCAGTGCCGTAGTCGACTCAGTACCAGGGGGCACAGACTCACGAGCACCTAGAGCAGCAGCCTCACCAGGACCTGGGGCAGCAGACTCACTAGCACCTAGAGCGGCAGTCGGACTGGTCAGAATGCCCGGGTCGGGCGGAACACGCAAGTACTGAGCACCCTCTCCACTAGTAAACATCGCATACATGGCAGTGAGAATAGCATCAAAGTCTAGTGCCCAAATATCAACACCCTTCCTCTCCAGATCAGCCCAGCGGGGCAGCTCAGCGCCAGCAGGAAACTGGGCGCGCCATGCGTCGGTAAGGCGCGAGAAACAGCGGTGCGTGGGGTGCGGCTTCCCACACGTCAGCGGCCAGCGCGGTCACCAGTGCGAATGACGTACGTGCAGGTAAAACCACCCGCCCCCCCCCCGCTGCGAATACCACTCACGTGCCTCCTGAAGCGACGGGGCGTGCTGCTGGCTCTGGCCACCGCCAGCGCCTCCACGACCACCACCGCCGCCGCCACCGCCTCGGCCACCTCCACCCCTGCCGCCGCCACGACCACCTCCGCCTCCGCTGCCGCCTCCGCCCCTGCCACCGCTCCCGCCGCTGCTGTCACCACCCCCACTGCCGCCACTAGCCTCTCCAGTCCCACCTCCACCCCCACCGCCACCACCCCCGCCTCCCCCGCCGCCACCTCCACCCTTGCCCCCTTTGCCCCTGCGGCGCCCGCTCGGAGCAGACGCGGTCCCGACCTTCTCAGCACCAAGGAGGTCGACAGTAGCAGCAGAAACGACAGAGGGGAGAAGGGGGGAAGGGGAACACCCCTCAAAGAACGGGGTGCGGGGGTCGCCACGAGAGGTGCCTACAGCGACGATGCTCGCCTCAGCTGCAAGCAGTTCCTTCTCGAGGAGGGCAATGGTGAGCTCAGTGGGAGAGCGAGCGAGGAAGTGATCCCTGACTGCGCGCAGAGAGTCAGGGAGGCGGGTGACGATGTGGTAGAGCGTGATCCAGAGCGGGGGGGGGTTGCTGGCAAGGAACTCGTCAGGCATAGCAGCGCGAAAGCGGGCCTCACTAGTCCTGAGGTGGGTGATGAGGTCAGCGACTGTGCTGAAGGAGGCCAGGTCGGGGAACAGGTAGGGGAGGGTGAGGCGGCCTAGTGTGGCAGAGGCAGGTGAGGAGTAACGAGCAACTACAGCAGTGTACAGGTCCTTAGCAGTCTTGTGCTGGCCAAAGTGCTCGCGCTCATCTAGCGGCAGGGAGTTGCGAATAGCGAAGCGAGCGTGGGCGTCACGAGTCTGCCACTGTGAGCGCTGAGTGCTGTCTGCAGTGGTAGGAGGGGCAGTAGCGTGACCGTCGTACAGCGAAATATCCTCCTTGGCAGTGAGCTGTAGGAAGAGGTGCAGGTCATCTAGCCAGGTGTCAAACTTCACTGGGCGGCCCTCAGCATCGAAAGCAAGTACGGGAGGACTGGCCATAGTGGCAGCAGTAGTAGCAGTAGGAGCAGTAGTAGTAGCCGTAGGATCAACAGTTGTAGTAGCAGTAGGAGAAGTAGGAGGAGCAGCAGTATCGACGGGGCTGCTAGTACGGGCGGCGCGGCTCGGTCGGGCGGCGCGGCTCGGTTCAGGTAGGGCGGCGCGGCTCGGTTCGGGCTGCGCGGCTGCGCGGAGTCGCTAAGTGGGGCGGTACGGGGCCGCGGGGGCCTCTAAGCGGGGCTCGACGGGGCCGTGGTCTCAGAAGAACTAGGCAAGAATGAATGAAAGGAGAGAGGGGTTTCACTAGCAGCAGTTGGGGTACATATAGCAAACCCTAACTGGGTTGTACTCGCTATAGAGCACCCCACTACAGGCTAGACAATAATAACATTCTGACACACCCCCATAGCCAAAGTGGGGTGTAATCAGTACAATGAGCAGGCATAGCAATAGTTCACAATTATAAGCAAAGCTAGATGTGATCATAGAGGGCAAGTGAGGAGGAGGAGAAACTGTGAGGGCGAGAAGATGAAAGCTGCCGACTGAAGCTGCAGACACACGGGCAACAGGAGCGGCGCGCACAGTGGCTACCGAGCGCACGAGGGCACCGGACTACGGGAGTATCTGGCTCCGCGGCTACGACGAGCACACACAGGAGCAACGGACCCACAGGCGACTGGCGAAGCAGGCTCGCTGGGCTACCGAAACGCGCGAGGGCATCCGGACTACTGGCGCTGCTGGCGTCACGACGGCTACCTCCACGCAACCTCCCCCGACCGTCCCACGCCCCTCTCACACACCCCCTGCTGACACCCTAGCTCCACTTCCACGGCACCCCCCTTAAACCCTAAACCCTCGGCTCCCACACACCCACCCCCCTCAGCGGCAGCTGCAGCAGTGGGAGACGGAGGAGGAGGAGAAGGAGGGGACGGGGCACACAACCGGCACCCCCACACCCGCCACCCCCACACTCTACATCCCCAAACCCTAAAACGGGTGGGATAGGGGCAGGAGCGCGGGGGACGGCGAGAGGGGGACGGACGAGGCGCGCGCAGGCTGCCCGCGCCGCGCGCTGGCCTGGCGCAGCCCGTACGGGCCGCGC